TAACCTGCTTTTTCGAAACCACGAAATTACACTTAAACCCCTAGGTATCTCTGTTCACTCTTTGGCTCCACATGTACTGGTATGTTGGAAGTTAGATAAAATTTTCTCTTGATCAACTTCTTGTGCACTGATAATCACAATACATTACGCATATATTATTCCTCTGCATAGGGATCAAGCACAAATATGTATACCTCCTACTTATATATTTATAAACCATATATCACCTAAATGTAATCCTATGTCTGGAAACTAGGCCAAATGGCAGGATGCAACATCAAACACCACCGCCAAGTGGTCAGGAAAATATTACCCCTATGATTTGACTTCCTATTTGGAAAGAGATTAATGGCAGTTAATGTGAGTTCGGAAGTTATGGAAGATTAGAAAGTACTTCGTGCCCTTAGGAGCGCGCTTCTTTCTGAGCGACTTCTGAGTCACGAAGCAGGAGCGTAGTCAAGAAGCAACTGGACATCGCTGGATATCATGTCAAGCTTTCGTTTTTGACAGCATTCCTTTATTGATGTAGTGATGCCCACATATTCTGATAAAAATTTCAACCCTGGGAAGGAAATCCATGCTTATTTACCCCTTACTGGCCCCAGAATACCGTGGGTGTGTGATTTGACAAGCTGAAGGTTGAACAGGTGCCAATCTGGGAATTGGTCAACGAACATGTTTTCATTTTTTGATTCGGATTTGTTTTCCTGACAATAGTGATATAGCTCACTTATTGTCTTACATAATTCGTTTCTTGTAAAGTTATGTTGATTTTAATATAATATGATCCCCTAAAATTTGTGACCATTTCCTGCCTCCAAAAATTGTCGACATTTGGGAAACCCATAGTGACGACATCTGTCGCATGTTTCATTTATTACAGCTATCTCCTGGATCGCGAACTATCTTATTCTGCGTCCGTTGTTGGTCAGAATTTGTAGCTTTTTTTCTGACCACATGCAAGCTGAATGTGGTATGCCTCAAGGCTCGGTGTTAGGTCCCCAAATGATTTTGGTTATTAACAATAACCTCACGCAAGCAAGTACATCTAACTTCCTGCTGCTCGCTGATGACCGCAAGATTTGGCGCAACCTTCAAGGGACTACTGATCACCAACTGCTTCAGCGTGAACTAGACGCGGTACACCAGTTCTTCACCCAAAATTCACTACAAATCAATAATAGTAAATGCTAGGTGCTCTACATACGACACCAGAGCAACCGCTGTTGCAGTCTCGGAAAGGGTGTGCTGTAGCGAGCTACAACCGAAGTTGTTTTGGGTGTACTGGTGCGGGATGTTACAGATTGTTCCAGGCAATTCTTGAAATCCTCCAAATCTGGTAGCCGGTAAGTGGGCCTGTTAGGAAAAGCTTTCCGAAAAATTGATCGCGCTATTTTCCTGCAGATAGTTAGTGCTAATTTTCTTCCTAATATCGGATATACAATTCAACTCTGGCACCCATTGCTAAAACACTACCTTTTTGCATTAGCGCAGCCTCAAATTCGAGCATCAAAGTGTGTCATTGGAATGAACCGCTTTCCATGTTGGGAGAAACTGGAACAACTGATGATATTCAGCAGAGGTTACCGCAGGTTGCGAGGTGACTTTATAATGGTGTACTAAATTCTGTTTGATCCACATTATGTGTGTCGCTCTTTACTGCATTTCAAAAGTATTACCAACTCGAGAGTTCACGCACTAAAACTGACAGTACAGCCGATTGGATTGCCGCATAAAGTTCTTTTTCGCCTGGGTGTATCACCTGTGGAAGGATCTTCCAGAATCGGTCGTTTCTGCACTAGCACTTACTCACCTACACATTGTTACTTAGTACTAGATCTCGATCCCACTCCTGGAAAATAATTTGGCTTTATTTGTTGTTACATGTTTGTGCAGTGAAACTACGCGGATGGAGGACTACAACGAAGCGAAAGATAAGTCCCTCCTTTAAACGTAAATAACCCAGTGCACATTTATTTTTCTGTTAACCCTGCTAAACCATCTAAGCTGACGTGTGAAGCATTGCTTCTTAACCCGCATGCATTCATTACCTATTGTTCATAGTCGTTTTCAAGACCTCCACAAAGCTTTCACAGTTGGGGCTACTTGAGGAAAAGTTAAATGCTGATCATGAAGAGTCGCGGTCTTACCTCTTGGCAATTGTCGTCATCAGAAGTAAAAGGCAAGTAGCCAGAATTAGAAGCCGTATCCTTGGAAGTTCAAATGCATTTAGACTAGTGATGCCAGCTTTTAGCTATATCAAATGGTGGGGCGTTATCGCCATAAGCCACTGTAACTTCATCATGTGTTCTACATAGTGTGTCGCCGATGGATGAAATTTATTTCATACAATTTTATTCAACTGGGCTACACAATCGAATATGACTTCATAGCAAAAGATAAAAAGGTAATGTTGTTGGAATGGAGTTACAATTGGACAAAATATCTTAATAGATACTTACATGGCCTAATTCCAACCCTTCACGATTATGGAATTTGGTTGTAGTAATTATTTATTTAATGACTCACGTAAGACTGGTCACTCGCCAAAATGTATGATAATTCCGTATTCGTTCTCTGAACAAGAACTAGTAAATATTATCGCCATGTTCACAGGTTTGTCTGTCTTGTTTAGTTGAACGTTATCATCCATCAATTGCTTCTGATCACGATGAGAAAATAGATATTTACACCAGGATTCATTAAAACGTGTAAATTCCCTGAGAAGGCTCAGATGCATCCGTTTATGATACCTTTGCGTGTTAAACATATACAGGGGCACGACTTGTGGCCAAAAATTAAACATACGTGAATCAAATGCTTAGTTTCCTGCAGTTTGCGTTAAGATTATATTATTTAAACAATCTTAAATGCTTCTACTCTGTTGCGGCGACCCATTTCCACAAGAAGTGCTGGCAACACAAACTGTCAAAACGTACGTTGTATCTACATTACTGACGAATTTCTGTTTCGAAATGCGAGGCAACGATTATTCTTCCTGTTTTTGCAATTTGAATGCGGTTTGTGATTTTTATGTAGAAGGTAAGTTCCGCTTTACAAAACAGTTCTTGCCAGTCATATGTCCAGTTGCTTTCGTACAGTTTTGATTGTTCAAGTGGCGCTGGTGGATAGATGGTGATTTATACGTCTTAGCTTTATCTTCAAATATGTTAATAAACGGGTATAAAAATATTTGTCCATTATTCTTTTGTTCTCGTATCACTGCACATCGCAACATTAAGTCAGTCCCCAACTACTTGGTCCACACATGTCATTGGCCTGACATATGGGACAGCGGGAATGCTTTTTGTGTCTTTTCCCTCAATTTGTCTGTTTTAAAGTGTCAAACCACCCTTTTTCTTTCGTCTACCAATTGCAAGTAAATGAGTTGCTATAACTAAATTAACGCTTTCAAACAATTTTCGCACTAGTCAAACGCCATAAAAGGGAAGTGGAGAAAGAAGGATATGCGGAATGCGAGTGCATTCGAGGAGATGCATGCGTTCAATCGAGCGCTCTGAAACACATACATTCAAGTCCCCATCGGAAGAGAATGTTTTCACAAATGTTGCAGTCAAGAGCTCTTCGTAGCTCTAGTAGTGGATTAATTTAACAAGCGACTAGAGGCAAGTTCATGTGAATATGTCCATCGCAACTGACCGTTTGCAATGGGTTACAATTTTATTTTCGAATTTCGGTGCTGCAACGAGTGAACAGAACTGGTATCATGGACGTGTATATGTGACCTACGGCGGTGTTTATCACTCGCCTTAATACTGTTTGATCTTTGCTGAGGTGAACTCAGTGAACCTCAAATTAACTTTGCGTCTTGAGGATGATGATAATGGATCCATCTATGCGTGTGCAGCAATATAACCTCAGATAGTGATATTGGAGTTCGTATGCGCAGGTTGTCTAGTGGTGACGACTTTTGATTTCGAGCATTTCTCCTGTTATTCTTCTGATTTGAACACATCAACCAATGTCAAGTCAAATCAAAATAAACTCAGTGAACCCTGATTATTTCATTTTCAGCCACTAACCCGAATTTCATATCTGGTTATCCGCATAAGCGCATTGAGCTTGCGTGCTTTCTTCACACGTTGAACTTGGTCCTCTATTGTGGCGTACGGTGCGAAACATCTACGGTTCCTAGCCTGAAGGCGACTCGATACGTTATAGAAATTGTGATCTCCTATGTTCCTTACTCGCTGCTTGTGTACAACCTAATTTTTTACAATAATAATTATTTTGGGTGAATCATTTGCTTTTTTGCTTAACTTCCTGCATATCAGTGGTCTTATGTATTAGTCAGTTTCATCCGATTTGAAACTGCCGATGACATCTGCTTATGGCCTATGGATACAACAACAGTGGAAACTTCAAAAAGCTAAAAGAAGTAGACGAACTCGCGAACGACTGGAGCTCGCATTCTCTTATCATGCTACGCTCAATATTCCCCATTGTACTTTCCGATGTTTCTCCCTTCGTTTATTCCTAATTTACTGCAACATTCCTCATTCAACGTCCTAAACGTTGACTTATTACAAGGTCTACTCTAGTCCACATATAACTGTGAAACTATTCACAGATTCAGTAAACCGCAAGTTTACACTTCAAGACAATATGATTTGATAACCCTGTGCTTCGCGTTCGTGGCACGTAAACGCATGTTTCTGTCTTGTCTGTTTTATTGCGCACTTCTGGTTCCCACGATCTCCTCAAAAATTTATACACAGCTTGTTACTTTACTAAAATTTATGTACTCTCAGGATGAATTAAGAGAAGAAACTAGGGTTGAATTTGTCGTTGGTTAACGTATTTTGAGGTGTATCAATATTTTTTCAGGGATCCCGGACGACCCCCTTCACCGCTGCGTATTTATCTCACTAGTGTTCTGGACTTGTCCTAAATGTCGTCGATCTTCAACATTTCATTTTCTCTTACTTTCGTTAGCATGCTGAACTCAAAACTGCTGACGCAGGCAGGTAAAACACAGCTTCAATCTACGGAGCATTGTGCGACTGCATACAAAAACTCGAATGTAAAGCTAATGGCGAAAAATAACTCCTGCCTTAAGGAAGTCAAGCTTACAGCAAATTGCTCACATAAGATGGTGTGCCATCAAGATGGACAAGAATTTAAATCAAATCATAGAAATCGGAGAATTATAACACGCATAGATCAACGTTTTTTCATATCCGTTATAACAGCATCCCAACTGCGCTGAAAGACGAACCCACAACGAACGCGAAAACGTTGATCGCGTTCTTGGAGGCTGAAATAAAGACAATCATTGTTCAATAACCCGTGGTACGATTAGTAATTAAGCAAAAGTCCGAGCTATAAATCAGAAAAGTTTTTTGGGCGTGAAAGGTTAATGTTTAAAACAAAATATAATGCAACATTCGATCGCTCTAGTGATGTGCTGGTTCACGTTCTTAAGCAGTGAACTTGAATGCGTTATGACCTAGCCAAATCTGACAGTCGCAGATGGCGTTATACGGCGAGTGGGTTGTGCACAAATCATCACCGTTTGCTGCAGCATGACGTACAAATTAACCCTGCATAGACGGAGAGTATTGTAACTCGGTTTACTAGACCTCCTTTCATATGATTCACCAACTTCGCAGTGTGTGTGCAATCATGATTGACTGCACCTTGTAGAAATACTCCCAGAAGTTTAAATAAGGGATAGCTTTCCGGAAAATTGCAGTTGCTCAAACCAATCCGGTGAGACACGGAAAACCGACAACGTGTAAAGTGTTTGTCAATTTTTGATGCAACTACCTTGCTCCACGTGCTTATCGTTGTGTGATGTGGAACACAGTACTTGGATTGCCAGTCTTGGAGAAGGCAAAATCAGGACGAAAAATTAGGAAAAGGTGATGGGCTTCCTCCATTTGCATTTAAAATTGAAATTACTAATAATGTATAGTGTCTGACAAAAGAGTCTTCTACTTAAATCCACACGAACTCAACAAGCACTAAAAACTCAAAAACCATTAGCACGTGTGATACCACCTTACTTAATTCACACCTCGATTTGCTCAGTGTCGAAACCGCTCTATGTTTATGCCAATATCGCATTCAATCTCATAATAATAAGTACGGCGCTGTGATGCACTGATATAATTATATTCCTCGATTTTAACTGTGATTTTTACGAGACCACATAATACATTCAGACAATGTAACGACAACTTCGGCGCAGCCTGAATTGTAATTTGGATCATGCGAAATCCTCAGTACTTTAATAAGTGCGCATTCCAAGTATTGATTCGGCTCACGGTTATCTAAAACTCAGAGACATACATACCTTTACCATCTCCCCTACCACCTTCCAATGTTTCGTTTTTTCATCTCTATGGTTTGATTTAATCCGCATTACTACCAAGTTTGGTCAATGTATTGCAATTGCAGATTCGCTTCGGAAAAACCAGCGATGTGCTACTGGAGTTATGTAATAACACTTTAAACAGCCACCTTAATTACAAATCCCAAGCAGTTGAAATATCTAAGCAATATTGCTAAATTTTTTGTCTTAAAATGGTAATGCTTTTAGATATGAACTGGTTGTACACGTTCCATTTACTTCAATTTTATATATATGTTGTTATCCAACCAGTTAGTAGCAGATAGATCAAAATCCGGCTTCCGACTGCCTTCAGATTTGCAGCAATAACTGGTACACATAGTAGTTGTCAAGACTTATGAAAGTATAGTTTCAACTTTGGTTACCAAATATTTGCCACTCCCATGGTTTCGAGGATGCAAGAGTTCGACACAAATTTCAACATCAGGGTTATGTTAAATACACGAAAATCGCAAGATATTTCACGATTGTTAAATATATTCCCTAAGAAACTGCGTTCAATAATGTGAAAAGGCGAGCTCTTCAAGTGGCTTAGTCGACTGAAGCATTTAGCGACCAGATTCAACAAAATAACAGTAATGATAAACCAGCAACAGATGATAGATGAAACCTAGTGGATTGTCAGCATGACTTCAACATTTTGATTGAGATTTCAAGACAATAAATTCTTTGCGGAGAACGAAGGTGACAATGACCTTTTCAGATACTATAAGTAAATCGGGCTAGCTAACTCCATCGATAACATCAATTCACCCATGAACTCACCCAGTCCTGGAGTAGAAGGTGCTTTTGTCCCTGACGAATCTTCTACTGCTGTAGTAGTGATGGATATGGTGAACGTATTTTATTCATCATTTGCATCATTCAGAAAAAAGGCACGGATAAATGAAGTGGAGGATTTATAAGAAATATTTAGTCGCTGTTTGGCCGCAGGTTTTCACGGTTAGTCAATCGTCCAGCAAAGAGACGCAAATATTTTCCTCCCAACAACAAGCAAGATCAGTTAACACGTGGATAAGTTGCATAGTCTATAGAACATTTAAGACTGATGCAAATAATAAAGCGGGAACTAATCATTTCAAATAGGTGAAGTTACATATACTAGCTCATGCAAATCTGCTCATTATGTACAGGATTAGAAAACATCAGATAGAACTCACTTGATTGAACAGAAGTTTCCGTAACCGAAGTTGTTACCGTTGTTGCTGCTTCTGTCGAAGTGGTAGTTGTCAAAACCTCCGTTGTTGTATCTGTTCTTATGTATTTTGCAAAATAAATCAAAATGAAGGAATAAGTTTTCGCATTTGTTTCGCAGCCAACGTTAGCAACAGGAAAAGCAGTAACTTAGTTAATGTGTTAATTTTGGTGCTTCCTAAGCTGTTCGCTCGTTGTCTTTTATCTGAATCGACTGTATATCGAAAAGCTGTGAATGACTTGTACTGTATCCTTTGCCGATGGGAAAAGCTACACCTAATACTCAAAGTAAACCAGAGCTTACAAAATACGGATAGTAGAGAGAAAAATGCTTCTAAATAAAAATGGTTAATTTTATTTTTCGGCGTTCTTAGGGTTTACAGCAAAGTGATCTACTTGCGTGGATCTAGAAACATCTGAACTTGTCCCTTGGTAAGAAACCTATGTAATCTGTTCAATTTTGCAAATTTGTAACTATTGTAATCCTATTAATACTAAAGATTAAACGATTTGCGCATTGATGCAATCAAACATTTTCTAGTATCAGAACAGCTTAAGGATGAAGTATCTCCTTCTCAAAGCTGCTGTAAATATTTGGCTATCAGTGCACACCACAAAGGCAGTTTGCACTTCGTTTTCGACTCAATGCTTAGGACCTCATGGCAAATTAGGTAACTTCACTGATTAAATCAATACGCTAATATATGACACCTGAGAATACTGGCGTGCAAAATCTACAAACAATTTACCCAGGAGCCAAAAGTACCCTAACTAATTCGAGATAAGTAATGAAATAAGGAATAAAAACCCAAATTTATCAGATTATTTGAAGTTGTTTGCATGAATACCTGCGTTATAGCCCCTAGATCTTTAGCACTCCATTCCTGTACCTTATGTAAAACTCAAGAACTTGTTGTAAACACAAAATTATTTTGACTGATATTATCTGTATCGGTTTATCGGATATTCTACTGCTACCACCAAAATGGTTCTAATTAGTACCGTTCATAATTTTACCATTTCTAAGGTAAGTTTATGTGACTGGTTTTCAAAAATGTTCTCAATAGGGAAGCCCTCAATGAAATTATTATTTTCTCCTCCGGGTCTGGAATTCATTATCCGGTTACTTATAATGCACTGTGTATCGGTTTGATGTCCACGGATCAAACTGCTATGTTTCATTCAAATTTCCTTTGTGATCAACATTGTAGCATTCCGCTAGCTAGCAAGCAACGTCAGGACAATTGACTAATGCTTGCTTTGTTCAAAGTAATTCACATGAAAATATTGCAATGACTATGACTGTGATAAAGAAATATTTCGATAAAAGAAAATTCAATATTTGATATACTAATTGTGCAAAGTGGTAATATGCACTGATGGCCGAAGTGAATATAAAAATCTACAATGTTATTTTTATTAGTCTTATGTAATCTGTTTTCCCATGGTCTAACTATTTTGTACTGCCAAAGTACTCGACAAAGATTTGTTTATAATCTATGATAGCAATACAAGCCACACCTACTATTACATCACCCATGACCGAATTACATTTATAAATCGCAAACATCTGATGTGATACTTAAGTGAGACACAAACTTTTTTGCAAACAAAACAAAATCAGTCCGGTTAAGATAGAAAAAAGTACACGGAATAAATGCAGCTTTTCTTTCTGTGTTATTATATTAAGAAACCGAACTCGGTAACTAAAACGACCCAGTTTAGAGTCAAATTACCCAGCAAAACCTGAGATGGTATTAGTTGCACTGATATCTGCAACAAATTTACCGCAGTGAGAGTTGCATCATCAGTTAACTAGAGGCAGTGGTTTATAATAGACTGTTATGAAACTGAAACATAATAGAAAAGGAGATGCTTTCCAGGTCGACAAACTGTGCAGCTAAAGAAGATTCAGACGTTTATGGAGAAGTGGTAGGGGGAGTACAATTTTTTCATAATGGAAGTTAATGCTAAGCAGCTACACAATTTTCTGCGAATTATGAGATTGTCGTGTTACAGGGGTCAGTTGATTATCACCAAGTTAACTGTGAAATCAACAGATGGTTATATCCTACTAAGCTAATGATTCTTAGCTAGGAAAAAACGATTTCATCTGGGCTGTGATTAGTAGCAATACATAGTATGCCTTTAGGTGCTTCGATGCTGCTTAGGGCTTTCACATTCAATATTTTCCGCCTTATTTACATTTCGCTGCAAAACAGTGATAAATAGCTTACAAGTTTGGTACCAACAAAGGCTTCTAATGGATATTTATTTACTGCTTACGCTGCGGTAAATTTGCAGTCAGCTTCTCTGTAGGGGTGGTTATCACTGCCTCAGCAATTTACGTCATCATGTGTATCGAGTTGTTTATCACTCAACGATGAAAGTTGTTAAAGCAAATGGGGCTGCAGAGGTTTCTAAGTCACTGGTGCGACATATGGCACACACGCAATCTGGATCCAGTGCTATCCTTATCTTCCATTAAATGTTAAATATGCGGAATTAACTAAGCTTATTTTGGTGAGTTACTGGTAGCTTACTTAGAGTAATTTTAATTTTATCATGAGTACACGATCTTAAAAATATCACCTTTATTAAAATCGGGATATACATCAAAATATTCTGCTTTCTACACGACACACCGACAAAGTACTAGCTAATACTTCGAAAAAGCGTCGGGTGCGGAAGGATTGGCAACACTTTTGAAGTTTTATGCAAATAATTATTAGCGATAACAAGTACCAGGTGGGTTTCGCAAGTGACTGTCTGATAGTTGGAAGTTAAATGTTATCCAGTCGGTTAGGATGCTTTTGTGTTTAGCTTGTTCCCATCCTTCAACAGCTTAAGCCGCAGCTACACACTACGTGTTCATTGCCCAAATAATATGCCGACCACTGCTATTACAATTTAACCAGGCAGGAAGCAAATAACCATCAAGTTATTGTCAACAAAATTAGACTGTAACGTTGCGCTTTTCATATTGCTTTGATCATTCAAGAGAAGCAATTAAATTGGTTTCCCTAAATTGAACAGACTGAAATGTTTGCATTCAAAATGTGTCATAATACCCAAAACATGAAGCGCTGTTTCGTAAGAAAACACGTCATTGCATAGCGGTTTGACATTTACACTCACCTAACTACACAACTTGGACAGATGTATAAATCTGCTAATACTATCAGTAAACCAGTATCCAAAGATTTCAATAGTTTACATATCATGGACCATATACATACCACTGTGTAAAGAAGAAAAGCAAGAAATACTCATAAAAATGTCCCACTTAATATGCCGTAATGTTCCATTGGGACTCAAGGAAATATACGAACTGAGCTTGAACACGTAAATAAGTGTTTCATACGAGTCGAAGTCGAGCAAGCAGTTAATCACAGTTTAACACAAATAGGTATATTTGAAAAACATTTTAACAGAAATTACTGAATTCTGCAATTTCGCGTATTTTCGTCAGTTGTTTGCATAGTTATTTAAAAACGGTGCGATGTTAAGAGGAAAAATTCAAAGCGGTCGAAAATCCTTAGGCTCGCATAACCTGGTTTTAGGAAAACGCAACCACTATCCTCACCAGGGAAGGGCCAGCGTGGTCACGAAATCCGTCTGCTTGCACAGATTCGGCTTCAGTCTTCGAATTGCTGCCGCCTCCGCAAACTACAGTAAACGGCGATTAGTCTGTTCGCTAACTACCCTGAAATTGCCACGTGGACTTTGGCTTTCAGGGCAGTTAAGTATATGGCGGGCAATAGAGCTAGTCGGTAGCTTCGGATCCTTAGCGATCGTGTTTCCCGGAACATGCTCTGCAAGCCTCACTGACAGCCTTCTCTCAGTTCTGCTTATGTACTTACTACCGCAAGTACAATTAAAGAGGTAAATGTATGAGGCGGTAAAATGAGAGTCTGGTCTGTCCAGGTTGCATTTACAGAGCAACCTTCTGACTTGATGCGATACCATTAGCTCAGCCGCATGGTAACACTTCTTAATTGATTGACGGAGGCGATGCCTGCATCTTCAGTTAACTTGGTCTCCTTTGAAAGGCATTGTTATGAATATTTTTTCTTGGGAACATCGGTTAGTTGTTTATCTCCAGGTCTCGTATTTTCGCGTGCCGAGTTATAAATCGAGCTGCGTAATAATTCTCTTGTAGCGTCAAGGTGACTCGTTCTAGTTCATGTTTGATTGTGTCTAATGAGCGAATTTGGCGAGCTCTAGCAAAAGTGGTACGTACTAGAACTCGAAGAAAAAAGTATCCATTACAGTGCCGTTCAAAAAGATCAATTTGACCGAAGATGCCAGCATCTCCTCCGTCAATCAAGTAAGATGTGTTACCTTACTGCTTAGCTAGTGCTATTGCATCAAGTCAGAATGTTGCTCTGTAAATCTAACCTGGACAGACCGGACTCTCAATTTACCGCCTCATACATTTACCTATTTACTTGTACTTGCGGTAGCAAGTACATAGGCCTAACTGAGAGAAGGCTGTCAGCGAGGCTTGCAGAGCACGTTCCGCGAAACATGATAGCTAAGGGTCCGAAGCTACCGAGTAGCTCTATTGCCTTCCACATACTTGACTGCACTGAATGCGAAAATCCACCTGGAAATTTCAGGGTATTTAGCAAACAAGCTAATCCCTGCTTACTACAGTTTGCGGAGGCTGCATCAATTCGGCGACTGAAGCCAAATCTGTGCAACCACACGGATTTCGTGACCGCGCTAACCCTTACGGGTCACGTGAGCCTAAGGACTTTCGTTCGCTTTGAATTTTTCCTCTTAACATCGCACTATTTTTAACTAACTGTATGTAAACTGACGAGTATACACGAAATTGCAGACTTCAGTAAATTCTGTTAATATGCGATTTCTTCTTGCTTTATTTAAAAGATATTTTGCTCTGCAATGATTAAACTTTTCCATGTTGCTTTCCTTTGAAACAACATTCACAGAAGCAGCATTCGAATCAAGTAAACCCAACACTGTTTTCAAGTATCTTCTCAATGGTCACGGCAAAGAGTCCATTTTATGTACGTTTGGTGGCGGCACTTGAAGCCCTCGGAGTCTACCCTAAGGACTGCTTGAGGGGCAGTATTTGCAAGTAAGCTATTCTTTATAAGGTACTAACAACCTTTCATCAACTTGAAGCAATAGGGTTTGAAGAAATTTTTACGCAAATATTACGTTAACAGCTTCACCTCTTTGAAGCAATATCCTCAAAAAGGTAAGATGAGTAACTGCGGAAATTGCGATCTATAACCGTTTACTACTTATGTGTGCCCAGGCAATAACATTAGTCTTACTATACTATCGAATAGTGTCTTGCTCTGCATGTAAATTAAACAATCTTCTAGGTTTAAACTCCAAGCAATCGCTCTGGTCTACTTTTAGTCTTGACAAACAAGAACGCTTCACGGGATATGACTGCTTGACAGAAATGCATATATGTACTAACACAGAATTTACGGGATGAATTTTACAGGAAAAAAACAGTTGGAGGCGATGCAGTAGAGTTAAGATGCAGGGGCCATCCCATATTTTATTGAAATAGGTTCAGGTTTTCGATTCACTTTTACTTGCGAACCAGATAGAACTACCAGAGAAAATTGTCTGACATCAATTCCATTTACAGTTTCGGCAGTAAATATAATTGATCACCAAACTCACTCCTTAGTTCCTCTTCGGTAGGAGGAGGCACTACAGTGATAAAAATGAACACAAAAGATTGTTCAGCGATGATAAAATGGAAATATAGTAAAAGTTACATGCAGAGAGCAATTGGTTACCTGTTGCTCTCCGTGATTAACATGCCAGTTTGCTGTCCACCGTTTACTGATAATCCTTATAGTTAAAATTGGTTCAAAGCATTAAGGGGCGTATTTCAGGTTAACGTAATGGGGCTTATATGAAACCGTATTTATGCCGGGAATTTTCACGTAACTCAGCCGTCGTCATCACCAATAACAGTAGTGTAAAGTTGCTTATAATAACTATTACCGACATGTGTTATCATCTTTAATATGGTGGAATACAATGAAAATTTATTGGACAGAGTGTTAGACACATTCCCTTTGGAGAAGCCTACCGAATGAACTTGTCTGAGAGTATTCGCTTTACAAAGTTGCAAAACAAACATAGTTCCTTCGCTTGGCCGGTGGAGTTAAAACTCCTTTCCATATTGGATGTGCATTATGTGAGAATCTGTGCAGTTCCACAGGGTGGAAATAAAAATGCACATTTAGCTTGATTAAAGCAGAAAGCATTTCCACAACATCACTATAGTTCATACATGGAACTGAGTTGCACTTCAGTGTGCGCTATTCCAAGTGTTTCCTCAGTCTAGCTTGCAGCAAGCAGCCATGCTGTAAAGCGGTGGCGTCTCTGCGCATACATTCCGTTATACCTCGGACAAGTGCCCCATCGTGAAAACGGTATTTAAACGGACAGATGGTAAGTCTGACGTACAGTCTAACGAGGGTACTTAAGCATAGGAAATTCCATGATAGCAGCATTGGTACATAACAGCGTCACTTCTAAAGCATATGGTGTTATGTAGCATTCTTTACAATTCTGAAAGTTCTTACTGGGCTGAATCAAAACATATGACGCGTTCTAACCAATTTTGATCACTGTATGCATTTGCCGTGCAATTTCGAAAATAGATGTTCGACAGATTTCATGACATTTTAAATGTGGACGCTTAAAATTATCAAGTTGGATAGAACAAGCGCTCCGTAAGATCCTATATTATCCTGCTCGATTTCGTGCAACACAACGATTTGCACCATCTCCTTGTGAAAACAGTAAACAGAAGCTGGACTATTTAGTTTTTCTTATGGTGTTCATAACCATAGAAAAAGATAATAATTCTAAGCAATGCGTAAAGGAGACTGCACATAGGCACTGAGAATTAATGTTATAGAAGCCCATTTGGGTGGTCTGATGTGTTAAATACGTTACTAAATAATTGCGATTATCAATGTTACTGTCAAAGAAATGGACTTGTCATTCGTAATACACTGGCACTGCATTCCGCGCTTTTTCACATATACAATAATTAAAAATAGTAGATGCAAGGTATTCCCGTTGGCAAGGCAGAGATTGCGTCGTCCAACCAATGTTTAAATTCGCCTGGGGTAAGTGCAGCCAGGACCGATTCTGGGAGGGCATTCCACCGGTGACATACGCTAGTATAAAACAACTTTCTTCGTCACTCCAAACGGCTCTGTTCCTCTAGTTTCAAGGGTGACTTCTTGCGTTCATTTTGCTGCTGAGTTACATTAAACAGCGGCACACATGATGTGGGTCCTGCGGAATCCATTATGCCATTCTCAAGTCCTCGCGTAATCGGCAATGCCATTGCCTGCATATCCCCAATCGTTCCAGACTTCAATCGTTTGGACGACCTCTCCCTTCAACCACGCATTTGGTAGCCCGAATTCGAGCTCACACTTGTGCACTGAAGTCGTGCTTCAGCTACGAACGTTGGGCTTCATGTACGTATTCGATTTTGGGGCGTACTTACGCACTGAACATCTTTCGGAACATAAAGAAGCCCGAACGCACATCTTTGCATCTGCTGCCGCTATTACGAGCTAGAACCGGTGCTTAGTGCTGCTTAAAGTGCGCATATGTATCATCGGTTTTAACTTGACCTAATTCCTGTTTTAATATTTTATGCATCGTAATGAAGTCAATGCGCACTCGATGACTCGACAGGGTGTGGAAGCTTATCCTTATGCGTCGGTCGTCGTAAAATAAGGATGAGCTTATTAGCCATATACTTTACTCGCTCAACCATTTGAGCATCTCCCCGGATTAGAATGTTAAGAAAGCAGTGTAGCGCATAAGACCTGTGTATCAGAGAACCCAGGTCCAGATACCATGAAGGAATAGAGCAACTCGAGTTCCTTTGCGAACTCCTTTCATGGTAACTATTTGTCTCTCATTCCTACTAAGGCTGTCATTCACAACGTTTCCGTGGAACCACATTTGAGAACCACATACCCGTCGCCTTTGGCGATCCGTGATTTCCCTGCTTTCTTTGTGCCTACTCGTCTCCATACATCATAATAGTTAACATTGCATCGCTTTCCACTTCCTCTCACAAATTATGCGCGCCAGTCGAATACCCAAACCATTTCTCAAGCTTTCGATTCCGGTCCATGCATGCAGTAGTTTCTTCCTCTTTTTTATACTGCGAACTCAATTAGCTAACTTGAACTTGCTGCATACTTTCCTGCTGAGCAGGCCATTGTGAGCTTAGTACGTTCTACGTCCCTTTTCATTTAGATGGGAAATATCCGTCTCCGGGGCTAAACCCAGTTGCAAGTTCATGATATTGTGCTGTCACTTCATACCGGTTGGAAGTCACTAGGTTTTCTCCTAACGCTGCATTGAAATCTTTCCAGCATCCGGTCCTCAGCTTCTTTTACATTTCTATCAGTTACCTTTCTGTGGCTCCGTGTTTCACTTAGTGGTAACTGGTACTTCAGTCACACTCCCACCTCCATATCCACAGAATGTGGAGGGCTGCAGCCTTACGGTAAATTGAATGTGCATCCCTTGGTGACTGGAAACCTATTGTTAAATATGCTTCCTAGCCTCCCCCCTCGCCGATAACCACTTTTAATCAACCTATTATTTATCTCTGTTAACCTGTTTTTGCTGAGGATGGTAGGGTTTGGTTCCTATTTACTCTAAGCCTTGTTTCTCCAAACATATCAGGAACTCGTTCTTTACAAGGCACAGACACTAATCTCATGGTATGGCTTTCAGATTCCCGGACCTCATTGTCGCGGAGTGTGTTATTGTGACATCCTGTCGACTTGGAAATGCAGCGGTTTCCGTACATCGGGTGAAGGCTTGATCATCACAACCTTATACTGACTGCTCCGTCTTGTTAACAGAAGTTACTTAGCACATCGATCCAAACTCTCCAATCTCTTACACGAAAATCGAGAGCATAGATTTTGGTGCTGCTTGCCTGTTTCCCTTAATGAGCTGACAGCGACGACATGATTTCTTTTGTGCATCGATGTTCTAGTTTAGGTCAGGCCAGTAAGCTCGTTGTGAAATTAAATTATATCCTCGTGCACCCGATGTGATCTATCTCGTGAAAAGAAATCCCAACGTTTTATCACCATTCCATGGGATCACCGGCAACGGGTTAGAGTCCCGCTATTTTTTCCACATCAGCTTTCAGACTTTGTTGATGCTCATGTCTACCAGATTCCACGCGAATGACACGAACTGATGGCTTGTGTTTACTGTTGATTGATTCATAGTTCATGTTCTTAGCACTTTGCTCAGGAATCTATCGTTTTGTTCCTCAGCCGCCACATCTTTCGCACCCTGGGCTAGCAATAAACCACCGACACTGAAGAGGATGCTAGGCAAATCCTTCTCCTTCGACATGAATAAAAAAACGGCTGTTTCCTTGTTCTTCACATGTATGTGGTTTAGTGCCACCTTGTGTCTTTAGTGCAGCACCCACCTCAACAACTTGCCTCTAGTGTCTTTGGAACACCTACCTATCGCAAGGTTTTGTTATTTGTTTCGACGTGAAACCGTTCATCTAGAAAGTAAGATTGCCACATTTTTAGAGCCTAAACGACTGGCAGAAACTTATTATCTATCGTCAAGTGTTTTGTTTTGGATGGTGTCAAAATTATGCTAGTGTAGTTTTCTTTCCTTGCTTTGCTTTGGCATCGCACCGATTCCGACTTCATTTGCACCTTTGGCTACCGAAAATATTTGCACGAACTCGACAATTTTAACTGCAGGCCCTTCTTCCCGATTTCTTTCGAAGTATCTTCAAGCGCTAGCTGAGGGTTTCTCGTCCAAGCAAATTCTTTTCATTTTTCTGAACCTTCGTATGAAGTGACATCAGTTTGTTAAATTTATACTGAATTTGCTGTAATATCCAGCGCAGCTCCAATATGATTTAATACTGCATTTCGGGGGCAAAATTGGGTTGCCTAATATTGTCAACGCATTGAAAGCTCCGACGTATACCACCTACATTTCCTGACCGGAATGTGCATTGTTTATTCCTTCACACTGTAATGCATCCTGATCGTGACCTACTTATGTAGACCACCTTTATTTGTTGATCATATTAGTCCCAGCCCTTAATTGGTCAAATGCCAAGGTTTTGCCGTTATTTCTCTGGTAATTTCTTGCGCTCACCCTGCTCTACCTTGTGATCAAGCAACTTCACGGACTCTTGCCCCACTTGTGTTTTAATCCCTTTTATTCACAATCACAAATGGTGAAGCTAGGCAACGCTGATTCAAAATGACAGCGTGGTTCAGTCTCCGACTATATACCACTATGACATCACCATACACGGCTATACCTTCTAACATATCCAGCAGATGCGGTATTGATTAATGGGAAATAAACGGAGCACCAGAAAATCAAATGGTATTCTTTCAAACTAATACTGCTCTTACTAACTGTAAAGGCTGTATTCTCCCGGTCCTCGTGTTTGATCACCAGCTGCATGTGACCTGGTGCTATGACCAAAACCGTGATTTTTTAAGATTTATGCAGTCTATTAAAATTGTCTACCACTAATGTCACCGGGACAATACGATTCAGCGACATTTAGTTCATCCTTCTGACATCCAGGTAAAAGCAATACTTCACCTTGGCTTCGTTCAGCACAATGATTGAATTCGTACCAGCTGTCCCTCTTGAAACACACCCGCAATCAACAAACCATACACCGGCCTTCTAATACAAGCATACATGTGCATTTGTATTCTTTTAGATTCATGCGACAGAAACGACCATTGCGATAGCTGAATAATTTTTCCAACACGCCTAAGAAAGATTGCCTAGCCAGACATGTGTGTAAAGCAGTGGCGACTGAGCACACCTGTGTGGATACTACTCTTTCACTAAGTTATCAAGTTTTCTCACTTTAGATAGACGATGAGGTCGCTGACTTGAAAGAGTCTGCCCCATGATGGCCTGTTTTACCTCTGGTTACACGACGAACGAATGCTTGAACAATAGAGCTTTTATCGGGTACTTTTTTAAAAAGGTACACAGCGCTTTGACGGGTATTTCCGCTTCCAGTGTCTCATTTGCAAGTTCAAGTTCAAGTTAAGACAAGAACAGTAGGGAAATCCCATGTGCATTCTTTCTTTAGTTTGTCCTTGATCAAGTACAACATCCGTGGGATCAAATTTAACCGAGCAGCACCAAGTTAAAACACTGGAATAATATCACGTTCAATCAGTCAATGCCCACGTGGTCTGCATTAGCAGTCTTCGCCTGAATAGCCACTTGAACTAGAATATTGAAAGAAAACAACAAAACCGACTAATTGTGGTTTTAACGTCCAGTATTCCATTTCAGGCTTATGAGTTTTGCTTTCCGTAGAATGGCGTTGACTAACAATTCTAAGCGGTTGACGCTTACAGTACTCAATTTTGCTTCTTCGTCTTGGAGAGAAGGATTAAATGTCGTACATATGAACAACACTCAAAAATGTCTTCCTCAGTTTGAGGGGAAGTCTTGAGTGGCATGCTCAGCAACAGACATTGACAACAATATTTAGATTCTAACTACTCTATTGTTATCCTCGCTTTAGAGTGCTGTTAGATATTTGAAGTATAATGCTCAATTATTCTTCAGGGAGCATGTTGGATCAAGCAGTATACCTGTAAACCCCGTGGAATATGGTGGATTTCGGAAAATCCCTTTGTTTATGTTTGCTGGCAGAAAATATCCGTAGGGACAGATGTCCAGCATAATTTGTTCCAGCCATTCCTCTGTTCTATCCAATAACTCGTTTTTGTTATTCCGTTCCTTGTGCAGTGCATGCCTAGGGAGCCAACAACCCTGACATTCGGGCAAATTCCATTACGCTTGCTCACCGAGAGTCGTTAAAAATCTGAAGTTAATCGACCATGGTTGGAGTTCGACAATACAGAAACTGCCCCACAAACAGTTACCATCTTAACAAGTAGATCAAAGTAAGCAGCGCCCAGTCCAGCAAGTCCCCGATGTGGACAGCTAGGACTAACCGGTGCGCTCACACCCCAAGCCAGGTTGCGTTGTATCGCCACATTGCATACAAGCGATGGGCCGGACTATCGAACTGCTTAATCGGCACCTTCTTCACGGCAGTTAATTCTGACTCGAAAAAGCTGCTCAGCCATGCCGATAAAATATCCATATTCATACTTTGCAAGAAAACCTATACAAAGACCAGATATTTAAACTCCTACTTCATTCCGACATCGTCCGTGACATATTCGTACCCCTCCAGGGAGTACCCCACGTTCCCATTTTCAAATGGCTCCGGTCAAGATGAACTGGTGTTCCACTTCCGGCGTGCCACGGGTTCAAATAATGAAAACGCAACGCGATGCAGACGCGTTGTGTGTCAGTGAATACACGTCTCGATACCATGAGAGTCTAAGTATAGTACCCTGGGTCCATTTGCGCACCTTGTTCGTAGGGCATCTATAACTACGTTCCACCGCGCACTGTCATTCAAAATCTATCGCGCGGATAACCATTTGTGCATTATCCATCCCTAGTCTGCAGCAAACCATAAATAATTAGCGCCAGATTTTCTTAACTTCCTCCTATTAGTACTGCAAAAAATAGGAGAGCATGTGGACAGGCTGTACTATAGATTCGGTCCTATGACCGTGGCAAAACGGCTTGTAGCAGTGTCTTCCTAGAAACAACATAAAATTTATGTAAACATCAGAACTATGGTACAGAGAAGAGGTTTATCCAACCAACTTCAATTCGATGTTTACGGACCATTAACATAATGGTAAAAATTATAACATGCTAATATACATCGATCCGCACACTCGATGGACCGAAGGCATTCCCATTGTAGACAAAATCATTATGCATCATCAGTGCACTTACTACCAGGTGCGTAGTAATTTTGGTCCTATTTCTAACGTTGACATTAACGTGGTTTCAAATTCTGAGCCCGGCGTTTATAACATGTCACCGAGCTATTGGGGGATATGCGAATTGACACTACAGCATCTAATCCCCAAGTAGAGTGTTTGCTCAAACGCTTTAATCGAGAAATAACGACGAACAGGATACAATCTAAACGGAATCAAAGAAGCGACATAATTCCCATGATACAAATCCACGCGAGTACGGTGCATTTAACAGCATTTCTATGTTCAACTACACAAGCAGTTTGAGAAAGTAGTAGACTACTGGTTCAATTTCACCTCAAGTAAACAGAAACACTGGACCGTAAATTAATAATATTTTTTAAAATGTACAACAGGATTACCGGTATAGCAATCTACACCTGAGTTACGGTTAGTCGAAAAAGAAGGAGGATCAGAGTTTGTTTAACTAACGCCGTTTGCTTATGGTAAGCGCCAGTCATTTACCGTTGTTGTGCATTACATCTAACAGCCATCCAATGTATAGCCAAATTCGCAACATGTTACGGCGTTTGCAGATACATGAATTTCTCTCTCACCTTAGTGGTGCAGACGTATTAAATTCTCGACAGACAGCTGATTTAATGCAGGGCTCAGCTGATAATAAGCGTAACCTATTAAGATACACCGATTGAGGCTGTTGATCAGTGAGCGAGCCACAACGTGTTTCTGGATGTCAGCTAACTTCGCGCTGAGTGCAGGTCATGTCTAACCATAGGCGTTGGAGCGGTCGATGATTATCTCTGTGTGCCTCGGCCTACGCAACCGAAGCTGCGACGTGCACGTGCGCACGTAATGGCTGCTCAGCTGAGAACGAGGTAAAACACTGCACCTATTGTCAATGTTATGGAATCACAGGTAATGGAGCATGGAAAGACAATGCAGTCGGGATCACGTAACGTTCCTTTTACTCAGCACGTGCTGATTATTCGGCTGTACGGTGAATGCGGTTTAAACGCTGAATCAGCTTCAAGAAGATACAACGCATTGAACGCAGGAATGAGTCCCGTCACTGCCCGGTAAGTGCTTAAACCAGTGAAGAACGTCTAACAAACTGGGAGTGTGTGACATTAAGAGAACCGGACCGCCTCGCATCATCACGGACGACTGTTCAGCTTGCCCTGTATTCAGTGAAGTTTCAAAAACTCTCCATCTCAGAATTCGTCGGATAGCATAGCACTGTGACGCGACCCGATATGCGGTACACCAGAGAGTATTGGAACGAAAATTTCGGAGATTCCGTTCATTTCAAGTGCAGGTTTTGAACCCATGCGATCCGGAGAAGCGGCAAGATTTTTGTCGCTCGTTTCTGGATCACGGTTGTACTCGTTATGTTATCTTTACAGATGAGGCATTGTTTAATCTGCATGGAACAATGAAACATTACTGTTCGGCTATCAGCAACCCACGAAAATTTAACGTGTCACGTATGACCACAGTGTGAAACTGATACTTTGGGCCGGATTAACAAGCCAGAAAATCTTGGGTCCATATTTCTTTTCTGGGAATGTGACCGGTAGGTTGTTGTTTTCAAGTACTAAAGCATTGCCTTTTCCTAGCATCGTCATATTTGAAAATACTGCAGTCATTTGTCTTCCCCCAGTTGAAGGCCGAAGGTGCATGCAGTACCATTTAGTGGCAGCAGGCTGGTGCACCTGCACATCCTGCTAAAACCGTGCGTGCTTACCTCACCGGCAAATTTGGTCATCATTGGATTGGACGCGGTGAACCAATGGAGTGGCCTGCTCGCTCACCAGATTTGAACCCCATGGACGTTTTTCTATGGGGCTATCTGAAGCGGCGTGTGTACAAAACAACGCCACGTTTATTGGATCAATTGAAAGAAAATATTGTGAACGAATGTCGCTCGATCACGAGGGATACATTGGAGAAAGTGCTCGCCAATTGCATCAACAGGTCTCTGCACTGTAAGCAGCATGTCGTCGGACCTTTGGAACGTAACCTTCACTAGCATAGATGATCGTCCTAATACATTTCTGTAAATGTACTTCTCCTCTTTCACAAATGGGTTAACGACTAAACTGGTCCGCTGGCAATTAGTGCTATTGATGCTTCCGATCGGATAGAATTCTTAATGTCTAGGTTGCCTTTGAGCAAATAAACAGTGTAGGCACCGAAACGTTCAATGGATGCTTATAGCGAAATCACTGAGTCGCTATGTGCTGAGGTTCATGTAGCCTTAATGTGAAGCCGACTGTGTTGTTGAATTAGTTGCAGCCTATTGCCTGGAAACGTGGTTTCCGGGATGGGTTGCAGTAGGTGGTAACATGCGTACGTGGGGTCGTTCCGTATCTGGTAGACTAATATGGGGTATACACGTAGCCACCTGTAGGTACTACTGAACACTCCGAGTGCTTTAGTCGCTGCTCGACCATGGTGAGTTTCAAGCGCTGCAAGGGCACGGTTTAGCCAAGCGAGCCAAGCCTGGCTTACGTATTCGACGTGTTAACGCACGTGGGCATGGAGCGCCATAGCAAAGATGAATGAATCTAAGCTTTTGAATGCCATCCGCTGGCTAGCAATGTGCAGGTTACCACTTTTGGATTCCGACGGTCCGGAATAACCGAAGTCATTCTGCAACGGCACACCGAGCTCAAGTTCCTGATGGCTTGTCTACAGGACATATGCCCCAATATTCTAGAGATAGGCACGCTTTGGCTGTCGTCGACAAGGTGTCACTTGACCATATTTAATGGCAGTGCATTCCTCACCGGTCAATGCCAAGTACTATCTAGGTCGCACATGGAGTATCTTGTGGTTGTCAATTCTCTTGCTCGCCGGTCAACTGTTAACGATATTCGAAAAGAAAATGCTTTGAGGTGCTGCATACCGCAAGCTCATCGCACTACACTAGCTTAGTGTCGGCCAGAGATGTCAGTCTCTAACATAGAATTGCTGTTTACGGAGCCAATCACACAACCCATTCTAATAATTGATCGCCTGCGTTTTCCAAGTGAAACGTCATTACGTTAAGGAGGATAGATTCCAAGGCTCCAAACAGGGCACGTAGAAGTGTTACCGGACGGTAACTGGCAGCATCAGACGGAATTCTCTGAAGGAATCCGGCAAATGTTTGGGATGGGTGATTGTCTGCTGCTTGCTGCGTTTTAGTGTGAAGGTTATCCAAGGACGGTAGCGTGTTCTGAACCACTTTTGCTAGGAATTTGATGCGGGATAACACTTATGGTTTTGGGACAGAAGTATAAGATGAAAACAAGAAGGAGTAATGTATAATCGGTCAACAAGTAAATTGTACACGAAAGATAAGAGTTATCTTTTTGGGCGCCACAGGCCGTATAGATTGGATTTTTTTCGCGTTTGTGAGTTGGGGTTCTGTGAATGATGTCGCTCGAGTTTCTTTCTTCTGAGAAACTGAACTAGTAGGCAAATTTGATCTTTGCAGCGGGGTTCTGTCCGGTTTAATCAGAATACGCCCGAGATTCGAGTGCTTATTCAACACATATCGTGCGTCAAGGAATATTTTAGTCAGCAGGGGCTGCTAAATTTCAGGACTATTGGGCAAAATTGGCCAGGGATCTTACGTAGGCGGGTAGCTGAACAGCAATCGTGTGGTAGTCTACAATCATTGAGAAGATTACGCAACACCTTTTTAAGCGGTACCTTGTCAGGTACATTGAATACAACCGCGTTATTGGCACGACGAATGCGTTCACTGACCTCGTACGTAACGCTATTCAGTATTTCACTTGCAGCTAGCATATCAGGTTGGCTAGCCAAAGTTTGGATGTTGCCCAGGTTGACCAAAGGCATGACCTTATTTAGTAGCGTCGCAAG